AGCTGCCGCAATCTGGTTGAGGCAGTTGCAATTGACGAAGCCTCGCTTCCTTCTCTCTCCCGCTCCCTCTCGCCCACTCTCCTCTGCTCTTTATGGGGCTTTTAGAGCGTGGCGATTTGATTGGCCAGGAGTTAGACAGACGCACAGACGTCACCTGGCAGACCGGATCTACAATATTTGCATATGTATTTATGTACATACATATGTATATGTATGTGCGTGTGCGTGTGCTGGTCGCAGCTGTGCTTTAATTGATTCTATGTGCTATAAATTGAAATGCACTCGACGGAACCGTTAAATTCAAATCGAGTTGCACTTTAAGCTGGTCTGTCGATTAGGGAGCAGAGTGGGGATCGGGGTGGGGGTTGGGTGTGCCTCGGTAGGCGACTTCTGACTGCTGGAACACAATAATTGCGACTTTTTCGTTTTTTTTCTTCTTCTTCGACTTTGGCAATCATCATAATGAGCTGCTAATCAAGGGACGCTGCCTGGCAACTGCGCAGCTCGCCTGTTGTGACAAACACACACATGCACACGTAGCTGTTTGTATGAATGTGTGTGTGTGTGCATGCTAAGTTCACCCACGCATTCCGCTGTTTTGTTATATTTAGTTGTTTTTTTAGCCAATTTGGCCAACAATAGGGCTTCATTTGTATTTAGCCAGCTTGGCTCCAATTGATACCGCTGCTGCGTTACGCCCACACATTGAGACAGGGGCGGCAATGCTCCCTACCCAATTATGCCAGCAGCAGGGCGTAATTAAACACAACAACAACAACAGCAATTGCTTCTATTTCGCTTATTTCTGTTTGTTTGTGGCTCAAATTAATGTAGCTAATCACAACGACACAACGCACTCATGTGCCCCACGCAGCTCAGGCTGCTAGCCAACACTGGTAATTGGACGTTAGCCAACACTTCACAACTTCGCTTTGTAAATCTTGTTCAAGCGTTTTGTTCTCTTTACTTTATCGCTGGGAAAACAAAAGTGAGTCATACTTTTAGGGGCCGCCATTGCTCTACAGCTAAACTTAGATACATACATACACATTTCTATACGTATATGAGTGTGTATATATGCATATACATATATATGTATATATGTGATCTATTCTTTGCGTATCCGCTTAAGAGCTGCATCAGGCCATTGGTCACGCTTTCAACATCTTAAACCTTCTGAAGTTAAGCAAATATTTTTTATGCTGGAGTAGAGAATAAGTTCAATCAGTCACTGCATAAGGAGCCACCAAACTAGTTATTTCAATCGGCGCACTGTTGATTCTAAACTGTTGTTCCTTTGACTAATTCCCCGAGTAGTTTACTAACTCTACTTCCGCTGGTAATCCACTAATTCTATATTCTAATGAGCTTTTCGATGGCAGATTGTGATCAAACGCATTTTCTTTTAGCTTGTTCCTGGAGTAGTTCATGAGCTAACCCTTCTAATGAATTATTCAGTCTTTGAGTATGAGCTCCTGAATAATGGAATAGCTGATCAATAGGAATTGATTAAAAGTTGATTTAACAGTATGATTTACTTACGAGCTGTTGAGCTAACTGAACTAGTAAATGAACCATATTGTTCTTGTTTTAAGTACCTCTTTAAATTGGCTATGTCACCCAATATCTTTGTGCAAGGTTGTAATCGATATAAGATTTTAATATTATTTAAAAACATTTTTGACTCCTGAATTTTAATCAAATTTCTTTCAAATGCACCGCCTAGCTGAAACACAGCTTTTCCCTTGCTATATAAAATTAAAAATGAAGTGATTTGCAATACACAAACATACATACATACACATACATATACATATGAGCCATTGGATACTGCTGCCAGTAACCCAACCTTAAAAGTATGCTAGTATGCTTGCCTTTAATATTGTAAATTAATGCTAAAAGCTTACATACTTTAATAAAATTATAGTTTCAAAATAAGTGCATCTATATTTACGCCCAGCACTGTATGCTAATTCTTGAAGAAGCTCTCAAAGCTTTCAAAGCTGAGTACGCATCAATAACTGCAACACGTGTAACAAAAGCTCATTCAAGGTTAACAGCATACACTGGCCGAAAAAAAAATGTATAGCCCGGCGGGCCCACGCGATAAACATGCTTAATTAATACATCTGCTGCTGCCGCTGAAGCTCTAGCGTCACATAACCGTTGTGAAATACAAGTTTATATTTATTGTTTTTTTTTTATTTGTCCAAATCCCGTTTGTGGCGTTCGCACTAACCACTTGCTTTGGCTGTTGCTAGCGATGTGCTAATCAAGCTTTGCTCTTTGCTTTCTTCTCTCTTCGCCATTTGTTAGTCGCCGTCAGTCGTCAATCGGACGTCGCTGCAGCAAGTACGTCCGCGCAGCTGGTGCTCAGCTATATCTAAAATAATTATTTATTTAATAGTCAACCAGTTATCGATCGTATGAGCTAATATACACTTGAGTCTGCACCCATCATGACCTCTTACACTTGCCTCCCGTTGGCCCTTAGGCAGGCTAAGCTTTTGGCCACACGCAGCTTCAGTGAGCGCCTGCTCCACCGGAATCTGTCGGCCAGTCAAACACTTAATGACAAGCACGAGTAAGTTTTTTGTTTTTTTGTGTTTCTTTCTTTCGATTTTGCTCTGCCACACCCCCGGCGATGGAGGAGTAGCGCTAATAAGAAATGACAGACAGGTCCCAAGAGGATCGTAAAAGTTTCGCAGGGCCTTTGTGTATTGTTCTATATGCAAATGCATATCTGTATATATGTGGTATATATTATATATATAGCAGATGTATCTATTAAACAAATACAATTAGCATGATTAAGGCGAGGGAATTAAGCACGTAGGCCAAAAAACACACACACATTTTAACCGGCAGCAGAAGCTTTTATTTGTGTGTCGCTGTATACTCTGTTGAAGATGTTCAATCGGGTATATGTATCTATATATATGGTGCAACGGTAGGTAGGCAGTGTTAATGTAATTATCTACGATCCTTTGCAGATGTCAAGTTTTGGTTGTTGGCGGCGGCGCTGGCGGCTGTGCTTTGGCTGCGAAGCTCTCCTCACGCTTAGGCAGGAACAAGGTGATCGTAGTGGAGCCTGCTGATGTACGTAAGCCCTAGTTGTGATAGCTCTGTCAAGTCAAGTAGAGGGACTTACTCCCTACTGTATGTTGTCCTTAGAAACATTATTACCAGCCGATGTTCACGCTAATTGGGGGTGGAATGAAGCGCCTGGAGCACTCCTACAAGTCCATGGCCGAGGTGCTGCCCAAGAAGGCAAAGTGGCTGCAGGAAGCGGCCGTAGAGTTCGATCCGGAGAGTAATACGGTGAAGACATCTGGCGGAAATACCATCAAATACGATATGTTGTTGATAGCTACAGGTCTCCAGCTAAACTACAATAAGGTAAGCTAAATTTCAGATAAATAATAAACTACGCCGTAAGGTAATTACCATCCCTTTTAGATACCCGGACTCGAGGAGGCGCTGGCCATACCCAATGGTAAAGTGTGCTCCATCTATTCACCCAAGTACGTGGACAGGGTATTCGACTGCCTACGTAATATTCAAGGCGGAGATGCCATCTTCACATATCCCTCGTCGCCGGTCAAGTGCCCGGGAGCGCCTCAGAAGATTGTCTACATCGCTGAACACTATTTCCGCAAGGTAAACCGTGCATCTACAAATCCGTAATCGCCTCTCATCAGAAATATCCTTTGCAGTTGGGCAAGCGGAATGATATAAATATCAAATATAATACGGCTCTGCCCGTGCTCTTTGGGGTTAAGCACTATGCAGATGCTCTCTGGCCCATTGTGAAGAAGCGCAACATAACGGTAAATACGCGCCGTAATCTAATTGAGGTTAAGCCCGGTCAAGACATTGCCGTTTTTGAGAATTTGGATAATCCCAGCGAGCGTTTCGAGGAGAAGGTGGGCAAATGATGACTTACAGATTGAGGACGTATTTTGGATAGTAATACTATATATTCGTTTCTTTAATTAGTACTCAATGTTGCACGCCGTACCGCCAATGAGTGCGCCGGACGCTTTGACACGCTGCAAGCAGCTGATCAACGAGGCGGGCTTCGTGGATGTGGATCAGTCCACACTGCAGCACAAAAAGTACCAGAACGTATTCGCCATAGGCGATTCATCCGGTTCACCTAACTCTAAGACTGCCGCATCAGCAGGTGAAATAATGACTGAGGTTCCGTTATATTATAATTAGAAACATTTTTCTTATCGGTTAGCTGCCCAGTCACCGGTTGTATTCCGTAATATGATCGCAGCGCTGGAGGGTAAGCCCCTTAAAGACATCTATGATGGATATGCTTCGTGTCCCCTGGTTACGGGCTACAACAGCGTAATATTGGCCGAGTTCGATTATAGCCTGACGCCTCTGGAGACATTCCCTGTGGCCCAGAACAAGGAGCGCTATTCCATGTTTATCATGAAGAAAGATTTTATGCCGTTGCTGTATTGGAAGCTAATGTTAACGGGACACTGGAATGGACCAGCCCTGATGCGTAATTTGTTGTCTGTATTTAAATTCGGCAAATAAGTGTCCTTATCGTGAAAAGCACATATCGAATGATCTACAAATGCAATAACTCTTATTTTTTATAGCTTTTATAATATATATGCATTTATACATTGCAAATTTGACGAACGAAGTGTGTTTGAATTTAACGTCAATAGTAGTTGCTGTTAATTAACAGTAGTCTGTTAATTAACATAATTGAAGGTAAATTGTTCAGCAGTGGACTGACCATGACTTTCTGAGCTGTATAAACTGAACAGTATATTTAAGAGCTTAAACAGTGATAATAAGTTCAATTAGCATTGGTTTAAGTTATGTCAATAGTAAATTTCACCAGATTCAATTAAATTATAGCATTTTTAAAATATCGAAAATACAGCCCTGCGTACCAAACGAAAATTTGAGACACGTGAAGTTGGCAGCGAACGCAAATCGCAGAAAAGAAGAGGAAGAACAAGCGTGGCGTCTGTATGGGCGCAAGCATTTGAAGCTAACGAACCTAAAGTCTTTGCTGAATCACAAATTTAAGTAAATATATCAATAGTGCAGCAGTATTTAAATTACAAAACCTATCAAAATGAAAGCAATGTAAGTAGTGGACAGCAATAGATGTCATAAGAGCTAATAATGAACGATATTGCCATGCAGGGCGCGTACGCCACTCCGTGTTCCCAAGACGCCTCGTCAAATGCAGGCACAAATGCATACAGAAAAGCGACGAGACGTCTCTAATAAACAACAGGATCCTGTGAATGTATTTTGCCGAGTGCGTCCACTGCAGTCGGAAGGCGATTTGACCTGCCTGCGTGTCAAGAATTCGACCACAATCGCGATCAATCCCCAGGATCAACTGCTGCAGCATCATCAGAAAAACCAAAACGGCGCCCAGCGCGAGTTGCAGTACATCTTCAAACATGTCTTTCAGCCAGATGCCACTCAGCAAGAGGTTTTCGCGGCCGTTGCTCAGCCGCTGGTCGAGAACCTGGTCCGCGGCAGGAATAGTTTGCTCTTCACTTACGGTGTGACGGGCAGTGGAAAGACCTACACAATGACGGGAAACGCTCGGCATCGCGGTATAATGCCTCGTTGCTTAGATCTACTGTTTCGCACCATCTCTGACTATCAGGCAAAGAAGTTTGTGTTCAAGCCGGATCGGTTGAATGGCTTTGAAATACTTTCGGAAGAGGATGCGCTGCTCGAGCGGCAGCAGGAGATGAATCAACGATTTGCAGGAGCCGGGCGATTTGCGTTTCGACGCAAGGACTCAGACCCGGAGATCGCATCACAGGCCTCGGTGGAGCCATCGCCGCTGACCGTGCTCGATGAGGACAACATGTACTCAGTGTTCATTACCTATGTGGAGATGTACAACAATAGCGTCTACGATCTGCTCGAGGACTCCGGCGTGCAGAAGTAATGTGTTTCTGATATAATGTGTATAGAATTCCAGCTTATCATCTCAATTTTAAATCTAGATCCTTGCAGTGCAAAATCATACGCGAGGACGCGAATCACCAGATGTTCGTGCATGGCGTTACCGAAGTGGAAGTCAAGACCGTGGAGGATGCTCTCGATGTCTTTCATATGGGCCAGAAGCGCAAGCGCATGGGCAACACAATCCTAAATGCAGAGTCCAGTCGCAGTCACTCCGTATTCAATATACGACTTGTCCAAGCGCCCACCGATTGCCAGGGCGAGCGCGTGATCCAAGACAAGCACACGATCACCGTTAGCCAGCTGTCGCTTGTCGATTTGGCTGGCAGTGAACGCTCCTCCCGCACCAAGAACACGGGCGTACGTCTCCGTGAAGCGGGCAACATTAACAACTCGTTGATGACGCTTCGCACTTGCCTCGAGTATCTGCGCGAGAATCAACAGCTGCCCCCGAATGTGCCTCCCAAGAAGATACCATATCGCGACTCGAAGATCACGCACATGTTCAAGAACTACTTTGATGGCGAAGGGCAGGTGTCCATGATCGTGTGCATCAATCCGCGCATCGAGGACTACGATGAGAACATGGTAGATAGTTTTAAATTGCCTGTTATCTGTTATCCTTAACTTTATCTTCATCCACAGCAAGTCATGAAGTTTGCAGAGATGACTCAAGAGGTGCAAATAGCCCGCGCCACGCCCATGAAGCCAGACCTGGGTCTTACGCCCGGTCGCCGCAAGGCCAACAAACTGTTCAAGATTGCCGTTAACAATCTGAACGAGCTGGGCATACCCGAGGCCAAGCAGCTGGAGGTGGATGTGGGTTTGGTTTACAGCTTGGGCGCCGACTTTCCACACTATCAAATGGATAGTCCGGAGGCCGCGTGCAAGATACAGGAGCTAATGGAGTATCTGGAGCAGCGGATCGATAAGCGACGCAAACTGCGCGCCAACATGGATGTTAAGTGTAGGATTGAGATTTTCCTTTCTCTCGTATCATGCATTCTTCATAAATTCCCATTTCCCCGTTAGNCAGCTGCGGACGGAGCTGGCCTCCATGAAGGCCGTCTACAAGCAGGAACGGGAACGGAGCGCCGCCCTGGAGAACAAGGTGCGCATACACGAGAGCTCCATTGATGTGCTGAACAATACGCTGAGCAAACGGGACCGGCAGATCCAGGAACTCAGCCAGAAGCTCAGCGAACAGGAGCAACTGCTCACGCAGAAGGAGCAGGAGAAAGAGAAACAGAAAAAGAAGTACAATTCCAAACTGGCCGTTGAATCGGATAAGAACAAACGCGAATTCGATATGAAGCTGCGTGAACAACGCGCCAAAATGCAGGAGCGCATGCGCATCAAGGACGAGAAGTTGCGCTTGGTGTCCAATATACTACAGTCTGAGGATGTGCCCAGCTTGCCGCGTTCCCACAGCTCAGAGAATCTGCTGAACGACAAGGATCGCGGTGGCTTCACCACGCGCACAGAGTCCACAGCAGCACCTACGACTCGCACGGACCTCTACTGTACTCCGAGACATGTAAGCGTATAGTGAGGGATAACAATTATTCAGAATTTTAACTGTTTTTTTAATCCGTTTGGTAGGGCTTGGCAGCTGCCAACAACAGGCACCGCAGGTCCCGTTCCGCCGGCGATAAATGGCTGGAGCATCGTGCCGCCAATCCTGTGCCACTTGGCACGATTATGCAGCCGTATCTGAAGAATCGTAAATCGGTTACGAAGCTAACCGACATGAAGGAGCTAACCGGCCATGGAGCCAACAAATATTGCCTTGTCTCCCAGGAGGCTGACACCGATGGCGATGTGGAGACGAAACTGTACAAGGGCAACGTAATACCCACTTGTGGCGGCGGCGCTCAAGTCGTGTTCGATGACGTCGAGTGCCTCAAGCAGAAGTCACCCGTCCATTCGCCTACGCGCAAACGGCCTAGCAACGGCAATTTGTCGTCCTCGGCATTTGGTGGCCCATTGCCGACGAGCACCACTGGCCTGACATCCGTGCAGGATGTGGCCTCGCGCTGCAATCTGGGCATCGAAGGGCACAGCAGCAAGAAGTCCAAGATGTGAACGATATACTCTTACATACCCGTATTATCAGAACATTATATCAGATGTTTTGCTTTCCAGTTAATTATGTATTATACTCAGTCTCGATTTATAAGTTGAATCATCAATGAAGTGATTTGTTTTAAGTTTACGAACACAATTAAAGAAGTCAATTATAGACTTATTAACTTTATTTGGGGACCGATTCAAACGAATACGAATGTCAGGCCTCATTTACAGTTGGTTATAGTAGCTCCGATAAACTGAATGAAAAGTTTATAAAACAATAAACAATTTTAAGAATTTCTGCATTTATTGTTGCGATTAATTTTGCCATAAATTGTATCATAAATTATTGTTTAGATTAATCGGCATGTACATAGCTAATACCCCATTCACCCCGAACCCAAATAACGGTATAAATATATCGTATACCGCATGTCGAATGATCGTATTGTTGGCCGTTATCGTAGCATTTGGAAATCAAAAACTTTGGACAGAAAACGAAAATAAAATCACATGCACATGCATTTATGTTGTTTGTTTTTGTTTTTATTTAACTCTTGGTTTAATTATTCCTGCGTTTATTCAGATTTATGCTTAAATTTGTAGATTAATTTCAATTACTAATAAATCAGTCTATAATTAAAATATATGTTCGCTTAATGCTTTTGTATATATATGTGTGTGTGAGTGTGTTTGTGTTAGTATGTGTAACTGTATGTGAGTGTGTGTGAGAGCTGCCCCCCTCCTTCTCCTTCTCATTCCCCTCATACGAATTGAGTACCACGAAATACTTAAATTTCTATATACGAGTCTAGCCCATCTCTTAAGCAGGCAACAAAAAATTTGAAAATTTTCAATATTTTCGTTAAATTTAGCATATACTAACATACAATTTACATTTAAACGGGACTACTACACACGGGAAGCCTTTTAACAAAAATACATTAAAAATCAAATACATACGCATTGGTGTGTGTAAACAAAACAGATCGAACGAAACCACAAAATGTTTATATATATATATATAGAGAGAGAGAGAGAGAAACAGAAACAACTCAATATTGGGTCTCCAAAATAATTTAACGGCATTATTAACATTATAGACATCATAATTAATCAATCAATTAAACAATTTACAATTTTAATTAATATAAAGCTGTTTTTTCATAAAACTTTTCTTTTCGGTTCATTCGATACGGAACAAAATGATGTATGTAGGTATATGCATAATACGTATATAGTAGTATGTTTGTAAACATTCGACTTGCTATGAGATATCTGCTA